GGGGGGGGGGGGGGGGGGGGCTCCGTCATCTCTTACATCTCTTCGTTCCTCCTTAGTCCCAATTTCCTCATGAATCTTATTTTATTTTTTAAACTTTCTTAATCTTTTTGTACTATACATATTTTGGTAAGCCGTCTCAAATCTTTCAGGGAGTAAAGTTGTATAGTACCACACACACTCATTAATGGTTTCATAGAAACTCTTCATATTGCAAATTTTCCTATGTATTAATCATCCATTAATTTTTAAATTCATGGTGAAATATGCATAAGATTGACCATTTTTAAGTATACGGTTCAGGGCATTAAGTATATTTGCAGACACTGCCTTAATTACCGGCCATGTAACCAGGGTGCCAGGTTACCCGATGCCCCCTTTCCCTGTGGCTAGGGGCAGCAGGCTGGCGCCCCTCTCCGTGCCCGTGTGCTTTGGCTGCTGCTTCTCCCAGGTGTGCTGTGTGCTTACCGAGAGTCAGCCGGATTACTCTCAAACATACTTACAGCAGCTATATTTGTTATTGTAGTTACGTAATTTAATTACTGTAAACAAATGAAATATGAGCACCAAGAGAGCCGCTGCTTTTGTGATAAGTCAGGTAACTTTCTATATAACAAGTGAAGTTTCTCAGGGTCCTGTGACAAGTGGGGCTTCCCTTTGGGGAGAGCCTTCCGGCGGCCTCCGAGCCATGAACAAAGGCGCATCACTTACGTGCCTCCTCCGACATCACAGGGTCGAGGGCGCCCCGACAGAGACTGGATCTGCAGAGAGAAACAGAAAGCGGGGCTTACTTGTTGTAGAGCCAAGTTCAAGTGTTTTCAATGTCTTTGTAGGTGTCCTGGGACCCCAGGAGTGTGAGCCAGCAAACAGAAACGGCACCTTCACACGGCAGCTGCCTCAATTTCGACTGGACTTTCCCAGGCATAACATTAATAATACAGTAACATGCGACAGACCATTACTAGATTTCCTTAATTTGTTGCTTTATTCATTTATCTTCTAGGTGAATATTATTTCCTCCAAAATGCCCCATGTTTAACATACAGAGCTTTTAAATAAATGTTACTTTTCTAATTGGTTTGAGAGGAAAAGAAAACAGAAAAAATGGGGTGAAGAAAGAGGAAATTAATGTCAGAAGAAAATAAATATTTCAACTAGTAGAATATAAGGTCTAGGGGGGATGGGCAGAGATTTTATCTTGTTCACGGTAATAGTCCTGCAGCTACAAAGCCTGGCAATACATGTTGACAAAAATAAATGACCCTACTGACTCAACCTTCTCCCAGGAAATGATTTAACTCAATGCTACTCTGCAGACGTGATTTACGGAATACTGCAGATCCCTAAGAACGGACAGAGGCGAGCACTTTTCCCAGAGAGAGTATCCCCGGCCCTCGGGGAGAGTGGGTGCCCCTGCCTTCTTTGCTGGAGGAGATAAGCTGTCTTCCCAGAAAGGCCTCCCGAACCACTTGGGCCTCCTACAGCCAAAAAACACGCGGCTGCCTCCGCTGTGTTTAAGTATGTGAATTTTAAATAATCTCTTCTCCCCGCGCCCCCCCCTCCCCGCTCCGAAAGATTAAAGACCAAGTACATCTCATTTTCATAAAAGGCCTTCCAAGCCCATCCTGACGCTGACAATGACTTTGGAAGACTGGGCAGGAGAAACGGGAACGGGAAGCCTGAACAGGTGGGGTGGTTAAGAAAATACAGGAGATGGCAGTGGAGCACCCCCAAGGGCTGGGGCGGACAGACCCACTCTCTTTCAAAGGCACCACAGCTCCCCTACGGGAAGAAAGGCCCAGTAAGACCCATGGGACCGCCCTCCCCCACAGTGGGGGAGGTCTCCAGAGAGCCACTGGGCAGGTCAGCGCGCACAGCTGGAGATACAAATGCTCAAAGGCTCGCAGACATCATGAAACACACGTGACCCCCGGAGGATTCAGGTCAACTGTCCCTGGTCAAGGAAAGGGACAACTGGTGGGCGAGCAGAGCTGGTGACTGACCGGTGCTGGCTACACAACAGAAGCACCTGCCTGCGAGTGGGACCAGGTTTCTGCACTTTCAGTAACATGAATGAAATGGGGGGCTCAGAGGTTTTCCTGGACAAGCACATTCACATGAAAATTAGAAGGCAAGAGATGACTGTACTGATTCATCAACAACCGTGATAGTTTCTATTTGAACCGTCACTGCCCAGCATATTTTTCTTATCTCTGTCCCCAGACAGCCCCTCTTCCTTGTCCCCAGTTCCTCCTGTTTTTCCCTCTGCAGGATTTCACGATGACCTCGGAGGTGCAAACATTCAGCGAGAACAGACAGAGTTGAGGGTCGGGTACCTACCTCCCTGGTCTCCCACAGCTGCCTTGGCAGCGGCTTAGGAACATTTAGCAGATTCTCCTCTTTCAGTGGGCCGGGGAAAGGTGCTCCTGGAGGGGAAGAGGCGGCACAGTCATCGCATTAGAAGGCAACCATCCCACTTTTGGCCAAATTATCTTTCTAAAAAATGATTTATTTAACAAATATGCACTGGCTGTACTAGGAAAGGTGTTTTGCACACTGCTGTGGGGACGCCCAGATGAGTAAGACCTGGACTCAGCCTCCAGGGGATTTACAGTCTAGCTGGGGGGAGGGGCAGGACACGTCGGAGTCCATGACCGATAAGAGAAGCGGGTGGGGGCCCAGGAGGGCTAAGGGTACCGCGCAGCTCACCAGCAGGCAGGGAAGACACCACGGCGGGCCCTGGAGCTGGGCCTGGAGCCCTTCAGAGGTAAGGAAAAGGCCATTCCCAGAGGGAAGATCCGGAAAAGGGCCTTCGGAGTGAGGACATGGAGGACAGCTACTGAGCAGAGCTGCTCTTTTCAACTGGGGTGCAGGGTAAGGAGAGTGGTAGAAATAAAATTTGGGAGGTCGAGGCCAGATCAGGGGGGGCGTGCACGGTCTCATGGCCTTGGGCATGACTAGCCTTAATTTTATAATCGTACAGAGCATCTCAGAAAAGTGGCAATCAGCAGTGGTCGGCACTTCGGGAATTCCTGAGAACATGAGCATTAGTTCAGATGCTAAGAGGTCACATCTACTGCAGTCAGCATTCCCCGCAGCACAGGTAAGTGAGTCAATCCATACCTTCCCCGTGTACATCATTCTCACCGTCACAGAAACCTAGTGGGAAAGAAGGACACTTTGATGTGGCACTTTCACTCGTATTTATTCATGAACTTGTAACTTCCTGATCTGAAGTAGAATTTTGAAAATTCCAGAGCAATTTTGGTACATGAATGTCCACCCAAGGTACATTAGCATTTATACTAAAATTAAAATCGATATGGCTAATTAAAGGCTAGAATTGGTTCCTTCCTACTTTTCTTTTCCTTTAATCTTAGTTTTAAGTTTTTTTTTACTGCCTCTGTCCTGAAAGAACAATTCACAAAGTCTAAGAACCTCTATTCAAATCATGAAGACGGACAGACCCAAACTCTCTTCCGGACGCATAATCGGTAGGGGAAGGACAGGCAATCCAAAAAGTCCACGTCGCCGCCTCACACTTACGGCGAGTGCCTAGAGGAACAAACTGGAAGTTCCACGCTGTATGTTTCTATATACATTTTTTTGTAAACAGTCAAGTTATTTTTTTGAAAATGTATCTCAAGTCTCTGTGAATTTAAATTGTATATATAATCACTATTCACAAAGTCTTAAAAATTTGATTCAGAATAAATTCTGGTTGAGTAAGTAGTTTTAATCCATAAAATATACTGCAGATGACACAGTATTTCTCATTGCTCTAAGCTAAAACCAAAGAATCGTGACAAGAATGAATATGTTACCATTCTCTTCGAAGGAATCAGGTATACTGAAAGACTTTTCAATATAAAATCGGGACAAATTTCGAAGTTCTAAGCCTTTAAAATAGTTAAGCATATTTACTTAAAGTTTACATAAATTTCTGGATAAGCTTAATGTATAAATTAACCTGACTAGTCTGTGTAACTCTAACTAAATGTCTATTAATCATTCTCTCAACATATACTAGGTTCCTGCGCTGAGTAGAGCCGGGTGTGGCCAGGAGACAGAGTAAGCACAGAAGACAGAACATGGACGCAGATTCTGTAACACTGGGAGGAGACAGAAACTTTACTGGAGCCCAGGGGCAGGGGCAACCCTGAGACTCGCCAGGAGCAGTAAGAGGCCCGTAAACTATGCACACTCAGAGAGAGAGAATGTCTGTGAGGCCCATGGAAACAGAATCTAAGTTAACGATCTAAAACTTTATTTTAGTGCACATAAAGACTTGGGTAAACAAGGTAAAATGCAGCTTCACGGGTTCAACCCTCAAAGATTTTGATTCAGAGGGTGTGACAACAGGCCCGCCACCTTCATTGTTAACGCCCCCTTCGGAGGCTGCTACCTCAGGCGGCCTGTGGCCCTGAGAGACGCGGGCTCGGCTGCAGGTGATCGGGACCGGGCACAGCTAACGAAAGGCACTGTGCGCAGCACGTTGGCAAGTGAGGTGCGGAGAGACAAGAGGTGAGGCTCTGCAATCCGTGCTGTCACGAGGGGGGAGAGAAACTTTGATTCATACTGTGGCTTCCTAGGGACCCTCCTAGGGGCCAAGTTCTCTAACGTAACCATTCTCATCACCAGAAAGCAATCACCTTATTACAGATCAAACCTAAGTCTGTACAGCAGTCTGGTATGGTTATGCTGAAGCATCTCTTCGTCATCAGGACACCAGTCACTCCGAGTTTAACCAGTAAGGGCAGTTTTCAGTTTAATCAGTAAGGCTGACCAGTCCCTGGAACTCAAGGAGTCAGCGGACGGCTCTGATGTGACACTGCCTGAGAGGTAAGCAGACGCCCCCCATATCAGCCCATTAGTACCGTCTCTCCCCGTCAGACTGGAGCAGAAGGAAGGCTGCATGGAGGCGGCGGCACTGGGTCAGGCACGGGAGGAGGAGGAGGACGGTAGTAACAAGCGCCAGCATCAGTGCCCGCCTGTGTGCCAGGTGCTTCACACAGTGACCTCGTGCTGTCTCTGCAGCAGCTCTGAGGTGAATGCTCTCATCGCCCCCGAGATCACACTGCCCGTGAGTTCTGGGACTAGACCTCTGGCCCAGGTGCCTTCAGAGTGTCCAGCTTGCTGTACCTACAGGGGTCTAGACACTTGGGAGCGAGGCTGAAGGGGATGCCCCAGTGTGGACAGGAGAGGGAGACGGCAGAGGGGGGCGGTGAGGACAGGGAGCAGCAGGGGCAGAACGGTGCCGCCTGGCCAGAGCCTGAGGTGGGAGGTATGGCGACAAGGCTGGGCCATGCAGGGACCTCCGGGCTCGGACTGGAGCTGGGACACGATCACAGCCAAGCCTGAGGGGACCGCTCCGGCCGCAGAGCTGGAGGTGACGGTGGGGCCTAAGGGCGGGCAGACCAGGTGGAAAAGAGCAAAATGGTCCAGGCAAGGAGGACACGGCCGCCGAACAGAGGTGGGGGTGGGAATGGGATCCGTTTCAGTGGCCAGAGGACGGGGTGGGGGCTGACAGAGACGTCAGCACCAGGAGGACGTAAAACCCACACACCCAAGGCTGGATTTTTACTAATGGACACAAAATATCACAGGATTCAACTACAGATAAAGGGTTAAAAACAGAAAGGAACAGCATTGTGACTGGCTATCTGGGAGGAAAGTCACTCTCATCAGCCCCACTGGGGAGGGGACAGCAACAACCCAGGCTGCCTCGGCCCGGCCGCCACCCAGGGGTGCCCTCTCCCGTGACGGAAGCCACATTCCCTCCCTGCACCGAGGCTCACTGCCCTTGAAGCAGCTTCTAGCACAGAATTCATTTGCTGCATGGAAGGGGCCGAGACTTAGGTCCTTAACCAGACTGCGTCCTTCAAGAAGCCTTCCTATCCCAGGTCCTCCTGCCACGGCGTGACCCTTTCTGCCCCTCGCCAGGTCCCCTCTCCAGCCTGTCTGTGGAATCAGGGGTCATTCACAGTCTCGCGCCTTTCCAGGTTATCTGTGCTTTTGGCCTTCTCCTTAACTGTGCGGGTCAAAGGGCACCGCCTGTGGAGGTCAGAGGCCAAGGCAGCCTCCTGCCCAGAGAAGCAGCTCAGGGCTGATGTTCCCAAGGCCGGCGACACTCAGCAGCTCCAGCTCGGGATGGAGAAGTGTCCAGCACCCCTCTGTGCTTGGTGCCTGGCTGCTCTGAGAGCCGGGCCCCCCTCGGCATGCTGCGGCGAGCGGGGGGAGCTCGGGGGTCCTCGGCTATGGGACACGGCAGTGCCACAGAGGCCCTTGCCCGCCCGTCTGTGCATGTGTGGGAGAACCGAACCACACACGCTGCCAGGGGGAATGATCAACATCACTCTTTATAGATTCTGGATAATTAAACAAGAAGAGAGAAACTGTAAAATTCTTGTTTAGCTGTATAAAAGATTATTCCTGTCATTTGCATCAACTACTTACTATTTATTTCTAATTCTCCTATAACTCAAAAACTATTAGGAAAATTACTAAATATGTATCAGGCTAATGGCTTTATTTTCTTGGGCCACAAACCTCTGTTCATGAATGTATCACAGTTTATTGCTCATGTAGTCAAGCTATGAGCAGATGCTCCCTTATCTGCTCAAAACCAAGGGAAAAAAATAGTTGGAACATTAATTGAGGCTACATCGTAATACTCAGGAAAGATTCCCAGGGAAATAACAGTCATTACTGTTTCTGCGGCAGAGCCTAATTCTAGACTTCAATTATACTTTCCCATCACTTTTCAAGTCTTTATTTGGTTGATCCTATATTAAGAAATACCTTTTTGCAAAGCTAGTTGATATTTTTAAAACCCAAAAGGAAAGAAATGAAAAACTTTAATGAATTACAGGGGGAAAATACATGAGACTATTTAAATCAGCTCCCACCAACAGATATAATTCTCCAGAAATAATTCTTATCCTTGGAGACTTGAATAATGTTTTAAACACACTGTCTTTCCCATGTAAACACATCCATATTTGGATGTTTCTGAGTTCTGCTGTACTTGCGAGGCAACTATGCAGAAGCAGGCACACAGTTCAGACGTTCAAGCTGGGGGGTCAGCCCACCCTCCAGGGCAGCCAGATGCCGTGGCCCAGCCATCTCTATCTGCTGATCCCACACGGAGTGGCCAGTGAGTCTCTAAGCAGGCCAGCAATTCTGCTCCGGGATTTCTTCCTTTCTTTCTGCCTTTCCTGTTGCTTCCAGGATGGACATTCACATTCTTTGGCCTTTCTCACCATCCTCACTCACACCTTCAGACACGTCTCACCTCTTTGCTCAGAGGCAGATGTCACTCTTCGCATAAACACTTCACTCAACTGATCACTTTCTTTGCTGACTTTCTTTTCTCTATGCATGCAGGCCTCAAAATCTCCTTACTTGAATCACCTATGATTTCCTTGTCCTTTCTAGGCCACTGGCAGTTCCTAGAGAAGCATAAACTTGGACAGAGGGCAACACAAATGAAGGAATGGCAGAGGCAGAAATGCAGCTCTTTATCGGGCTTCCAAAAACCTATCGATCTGGTTCCCTCCCTGGTCAAGGAGGCTAAGATCTGAGTGCACTCACCAGCTCCGGCACTGACCGGTCTCTGCTGCAGTTCACGCTTTGCTTACGTGTCCTCATCTCTTCCTATCTGGAAGCTCAGCTACTCCATCTTCCCACACACCCCACTTCTGCAAGCAGAGGGCCGTGGGCCCATATCCAATCCCAACAGAACTGCCGGCTCTATGCTCATATCCCCATGTGTGCAGACCTGGCTAGATGGCCAGAACCGATTCTAAAAGATCTCATACTTTACAAGGAAAACAACTCTTTAGGTAAATGCAGTCATCTCCGGACTGCCCCAAGGGAACAAATAAAGCAACAATTATGATTAAATCCCATCCCCACATATGTGCAAGGAAATAAAGCCCTGACTGTTCTCAGAAGGAACAGAGACATTTTGGCTTTAAATGGCTTGAGAAGTAGAGAAAACCAGAAAAGCCAGTATCGTCTCAGCCCAGGTCTATTCATTTCCCGTTATAAGACCAAACGCCTAGCCCTACCTGTGCGCAGGTCATCCTGCACGAGGCGATGCAGAAGCCTCGCTCCTGCTGGAGTGTAAGCCCTGACGGGCAGGCTGGGAGTGTCTTAGTGGCCCAGCCTTGCTCCTGCGCAGGTCACAGGCGGCACTGAGATCTGCTTGGCAAGTGCCCTGTGACATAAGCCACCGTGTGACCTCTCCCACTCCTCCACCATGGAGGGCTCCTGGGCGCCAGGCCCTGGGCTGGAGATGAGACCACCGGGATGCTAACTTCAAGAAATCTGTATGCGCCCACGGAGAGAAGCACCTGGGAAGAAGGCAATCAGGTGGCACAGGTGCCAACATCGCCACCTGCGCAAGGGGCTTTGGGGTGCTAGCACATGGTGGTGCTGGGCTGCAAAGGGGGGAAGGTCAAGGATGGTCTGCGGGAATGGTGACGAAGCTGCGGGTGCTGGTCAGGTAGGTGCCAGGAAGGAGGGGACAGGAACAGGATGGGACATCAGTAGGACCCAAAGCAGTTCACGCGGTCGGCTTGGGGGATGAGGCTGGTGAGTGTGGACAGAAGGGGAAGAGGCGGGCGAGGGCCAGACCCTGGGGCTCTCAGCCCAGACGGAGAGATCTGGACTCTCTCCTGGAGGTGAAGGGGTGGCACCGAGGTTTTAAGCAGTAGAATAATACAGTCAGATTTGGGTTTGCTGTGGAAGCAGGGGGCGCGCATGTGCCTTCTCCCCGCTCCCGGCCACTCCCGGCCTCTCCACCCTTCTTGTGCCTGTGGCCCAGGGGAGATGGTGGATGAGCCGTCCGGCAAAACAGGGGGTAGCTGAGCGGGCCGCCCCAGCTCCTGTTCAGCACCCTGTCCTCCGCTCAGGGGCGCCTTCCCACAGCCAGCCAGCCCCCTCTGCTCGGCCCTGCCCTTCAGTCTAACCCCGTTACTCTTCCCGTGGGGGGCCAGCCTGGGCCAGTGCTGCTGGCCGCTGGGGGAGTTGGCGTCACCCGGGGGTTCCGTCCTGATAGGCATGGGCCCACAGAGGGAAGCCGCTTCCTCTCATCGGTAGTAAAGGTGGTATTTAGCTCCACCTGCTACTTCTGGTTTTATTTCTCAGTTTGCTCAGATTCTAGATGGGAAAGAAGATTTCCAGAGAACCCAGCGTAAAACTGGGTTGGAGAGATCTAAGACTGAAGAGGAGGAGACTAGTTAGAAAGTTACTGTGGGTCCATGTGAAAACGGTGAGGGCCGAAGCATGGGACAGTGCAGTCGGGGACGAGGAATCTCGAGGGCCAGGAGATGCCAGGGAGGGGGATGGTGGGTGGGTGGGGCACGGCGGGAGCACCCAGTTCACCCTGAGCGCATACACGCCCTGCTGGAGCGCGTCCTCAGCACCAGGGAGGCTTCTCTCCAGGTTCCTGTGGGACAGGATGCGAAGCACCTGCAGACAGGGGCCGTCAGCAGGGGCCTGTATGTCTTACCCATGTACGGGGCAGGCCAGGCCGACTGGCCTGCTCCTCCGTAGGGGTCCTGGGGCTTGTTGCTCAGAGCACTCGTGTGAAGAGCAGAATCAGAATTGGTCCTAAGAGGATAAGGAGAGAATCTGGCTGAGAATCCGTTTTTCTGTAGTGAAAATGCAATATCCTTTGCTGACAATTACCAACAGAAGACAAGACAAGACTAACCGATTTACAAGCATCCACACAGTGAGGCGATGGACCCACTCAAAGTCCCTTACACCCGTGACAGCCTCTGAGGGCCACCCGCCTGCAGAAGGATTTGTACCGTCTTACACTTTGAGGCTGATGGCGTAATCGCCTATTTCAACAAGGCAGACCTCAGATTCAGGCTAGGAAACCCCCTGCCCCCCTCACGGCTCAGATCTCTGTGACCAGTACATCTGTGGCTGTGCGAGGTTCTCTGCGTCTGAGGCTGACTCCTCGCCTCTGAAGGACCACCTATGGCAGGAGTCCTCAGACCCGAGCAGGGGGACTTCCCAAATAATACTGAGCGTTCCTCATCCTCCCCTCCCATTCTCTCACAAGCACTGGACTTTCCAGCAGCCACGTGACACATGGCGTCACCCCAGGCTCAAAGCACAAGCAGAGAATCTCGCCGTCCTCGAGAGATTTCTAAAAGGCACAGCAGGGTCCTTCTTCTCAGTGATTTTTTGTTTTAAAAACTGACTGTTCTTTAAGAAAGATATCATTTATGTTGACATGTAATGACGTTATTATTGCTATTTTGTTATTTTTAAATGCATTAACAAGTATCTTATTATTAATGAAAGGTTAAAATAAACCTCTCAATTTAATTTCCAACATCGATAGACAAATATCAACAGATACACCCACATAAAAGCTCTTTGAGGGCCTCAGTGGTTTTTAAGATTATAAATGAGTCTGACAAAAAGTCTGGGAAATTCTGGTCTATAGATAATTTCTGAGACTCTTCCAGACAGCTCTAATTTATATACAGCCTTGACCCCAAGAGATGATTATTTACTTATTTCAGCCAAGAGTCAAACTGTCTGCCAAAAAAGAACTTGTGAGACTTCAAATTAGCCTAAAACGCTTCTCTGGGGTCTGTTCCAGGTGACAGCCATGAAGCTGCGTGCCTGCGGCTGTGCCGTGTCACGTGGGTGAAGAGCCAGGTCCGAGCCCCGCGACAACACGAAGGGTGCGGGTGCTGGGACAAGAGAGCCCTGGGTTCAGACTCCCGCTCCTTTATGGATTCGGGGAGACTCGAGAGAATATTAATCAAATCCAGAGAGACAACTGTGAAAATTTGAATATAAACTGGGTATGAGATAATATTAAGGAGTTCTGTTAAGTATAATAATGGCATTGAGGTCATACTTTTCTTTAAAAGGTTCTTATCAGCCTATGCCGTCAGAGACACACCCGGGTGGAGCACTACATCCACGGGGGGAATGCTGCCGAGGCCTGAGGCTGCAGGACAGGCCGGGGACTTCCCGTGACTCTTGTCCCCTCTGTGCATGTGCAGAACTTTGCATAGAGGGTGGTTGTTTTTTTAATCCCAGTTCCATCACATATTAGCAAGTGGCTTTGGACCAGTCATTTAACTTCTTAGGATGAAAATAATATTCATTTCTGTAGAATGTTATCAGGACTGAAAAAATGATGTAGGTAAGGAAACTCAGCCCGGAGTGTGGCCGAGAGCGACCCCGGGAACAGCTACCCTGCACTCAGCACCTGTGCCTCAGGCCTTATAGAATCCTCACGCCCACCCTGGCAGGTCCCTACCTCCCCTGGCCAGATGAGAGATGGAGCGGGTCAAACAAGCTGCCCGCGGGCACACAGTGAGAGGCCCGCCCCGTGGGCCCGCCCACGCCTCATGCTCACACTGTTATACTTCCCTGTGTGGACACTCAGTAGATGGTGGGATTGTTTGCAACACTTCATGTAAACACAACGGATAGGAATATACGCCGGCAACTGGATAATATATAAAGCTTATCAGGACAAGCAGATTGACTGGTTTTCTTTAAAATGTATTTCTACCAGGAGACAGCCCGTGTACCTGTTGAGTGCAGATGTTAGCCTGAACCCGGGGTGCTTTTCTTCTTTCCAAGGAGGGTGCTGCCTTTAAAAACCGGAATGACATAAAAAGAAAATAAATTCAATGCACAGGGAGCACAGGAGCCACCCTCGGGCCTGGGTGTGAGAGCTGGTCTCTTCTCGCCTAGCTGGGTAACCGAGGAAGCCACCTCAACGTGCTCCACGCTTTGCCGGTGTGCCCGGTCCCTGTCAGGGTGTGGTCAGGCCCCCTCTCCGGTTCCTGTGTTTCCTGAGTCCCCGATAAAAACCACCACAAATCCATGAGGATGGCATTAGCTACTGGGCGTGCAGAGAGTTTTGTTGTGTTTTGTTTTAAAGGGCAAACAAGCACCTTGGAATGCCTCTTGAAATAGTTCAAATCTGTAACCAACTGCTCTCGAGGGGATGTGAGGCCTTACGCCAGACGTGTGAGAAATGACCCCTCATCACAGGCCCCGCGGGTGTGTGTGTGTGTGTGGGGGGGTGCCCTGGCAATCCTGGATGTAAAACCCGCATTCCCACACACACAGCAGGGAGGAGGGGGGTAACTGTTCCAGTTCCCCAGCTGATGGGAATATTAATCTAATCCTAGTGCTCTGGAAAGCTGAAGGCATTTTTGTCTTGGATATAAATTTTTTAAATATCAGTTTGGAGATGTCTTTTTATGACTTAAAGCAAATTATTGTATTTACCCTACAATCTTGTAGGGTGGCTGAAAACCTAACAGAGGTAAGTGCTGGCTGTTGCCCGTCTTGGTACCGACCTTCCACCGGCCCTGGGACCCTGCCCACAGCACGTGCTCGGTCACTACTCACCCAGAGAGCGCATGGAGAGCCTACCTCAACCCGGGGAGCTACATTTTTTTGATATGTACATTTCAAATGCCTCCTAAATCTGACTTGGTGATCTGAAAGTGTCACCACACACACGACAGATGTAACAGACTTCTCAGTTAATTTTATATTCTGTCACCCTCTATATACAAAATACTCAATTTTTTGGTATATATTGTCTATATACAAAAACACTCAGAGATACCCTAAATCAAACCCATCTGTGCAAATTACAGTTAGGAGCTTGCTAAAGCATGTGTTCCTTTCAGGAGCTTACTAAAACACTCTAGAGAAAAGGTGTTTATTTTTCCATGTCTCAAATATAAGAATAGCAAATCAGAGCATTCTACCGGTAACTGTATTTCAATTCCATTTCTATTTGGCTTTAAATAAGAAGATCTAGATTTATTTAAGTAACTTTTCATTTTAGACTTCCAAATAAGCTTGTGATTATACATGGAAAGACTTAAGTTTTATCAGAGAAAACAAGGTTCCATGATTTATGTTAGAAATTTCTAAAACAATGTACAAGGTGGTAAAATAAAGGGAAACCATCTGAAAATAACACATATCTGTCATATCTTTTAAAACACAGCTTGCTTAAACTGAAGGAACAAAACAGCAGCAGACTCACAGACTCCAAGAAGGGACTGGCGGTTACCAAAGGGGAGGCAGAGGGGAGGGCGGGTCGGGAGGGAGGGAGAAGGGGACTGAGGGGTATCATGATTAGTACACATGGTGTGGGGGGTCAAGGGGAAACTGTAGCACAGAGAAGACAAGCAGTGACTGTGGCATCTTACTACACTGATGGACAGTGACTGCAGTGGGGTATGGGGGGGATTGATAATGTGGGTGACTGTGGTAACCAAAATGCTTTTCATGTGAAACCTTCGTAAGAGTGTTTATCAATGATACCTTAATTAAAAAAAAGAAATACAGCTTGCTTACCTTGGCCAACTCTCATCCAGGGGCTGTGAGGAGTAATGGGCTCCAAAAGCACTACCATCAACGTGGAATTTTTAATAAAGGAAAAATAAAATTAATGGAAAGCTGAGGCAAAATTACGAAGCTGCAAGACGCAGGCAGCAGAGCCTTCGGTTCTTATCTTTACACAGATAGCTCTTCCTCAGGCTTGGTCTTATCAGCTTCCTCTGGGAAGTCCATTCCTCTTTCTTCTAACCAGCACCCTCCTTGCACGACCCACGTGGGGTGTTTCTCTCTCTCTCTTTTTTTTTTTGCTCATTGCAGCAGCTTTTGTTTTCAAGAACTGCACCCTGCTCCCCCTCCCCCAAACCTGGTAAGGCTGTCATTCTGTGCCGGCCTCCCCGTCCCATGGGACGCACCCAAGCCTAGCATTTCCGGTCACGCACCTTATCCCCTGGGAACAGTGATCGGTTCAGGGAGGGGCTCAGGTCACAAGCAGGACCAAGAGGGGTGCTTCTGAGCAGAAAAAAACATGCCCCAGGTGAGGTGCTGAGCTGAGAACCACGTAGACCCGGGCCCTTCCTTGGGGAGAGCCTGCGTATGGCAGGAAGTCCACACAGAGGGAGCAGCACACAGACACAGCGTTTCAGTGCTACCTGCCAGCCCCGGGATCTACCCCTTGGGTTTCCAGAGGTGCACGCCAATAAATTTTTTTTTCCAAGTTGAGGGTTCCCGTTGGTTATAACTAAAAGAGAGCTGCATTAGGTTTGTGGGGAAATGTTGACTTCCTTGGGTCGTGAGGGGCTCTGTTTTCGAAGTGCTGCGTTCTCCACTGGGCCCAGCATGCCTTGAACATGTTCCAGATGCGTGGAGAAAATAACGCAATGCTACACTACACGCGTGAGCACAGCACAGCCGTTTCAGTTGACCTCATCAAGTACATCATAAAATAGTCATCTTAAAACATTTTTAATCATTTTAATTCTGCTAAAAAATCTCCCATGGGTCTATATAAAAGAAGCCATCACTTGCTTGGGCTCAGGAGACTGGGCGCCTGGATGGACAGAACCCCGTCGTGAGGGCTGAACGGGCATCCCAGGTGAATACAGAACCTGGCAATAGGAAAACGTGGGCACTCACTACTTCTGAATGATTTAGAGTGAAATATTTCCTTGATTATGAGAAGCATTACGGGCACATTTCATTTTCTGTGTATTAGTTTTGTCGTATCTTATTTTATTTCTTATTCTTACTTTTTAATCTGAATCTAAGTCAATATAATAAAACAGATGTTTTCAAAAGACAGACATTTCTTCAACATTGACTATTAGGCTTAGTTATATGAAGTACAGATTAGAATACAGCACAGTAGGAGACGGGAGAGAAAAAGCAATAAAGAAATAGGAAGGCCCCTGACAGGTGAGGCGTGTCGGTGTTTTAGGGGCAGAGCCCTGAGGGAGAGGCCCCAGGTGCCACAGCCTGGGGTTATCTGTCCTTCCCTCTGCCGTAGTGTGATGAAGAGCTTAATTTCAAGAAGCGGAAGTTCACCACGTCTCTTAGAACACTACCACCCTTGAAGCCACGAAGTCCAGTTATCTAGGACCACTCATACACCTTCGAGCAGTGGTGAAACAGAAACACAATGATCAAACACTGGTTGTTTCAATGTCAAGGTGCACGTGAGCATTTTAGCCTTTCTGATGTGTAATAACAACAGCAGTGTGCGGTACTCTCCTGAACCGCTTTTTTAAGAGGGTCTCACTATCTTGCCCGGGCCGGAGTGCAGTGGCTCCCGACAGGCACAATCCCTCTAACGATCAGCCTGGGAGTTCTGACCTGCTTCATTTCCGACCTGGGTCGGTTCACCCCTCCCTGGCAAGGTGGTGGTCCCCCCGTCCCAGAAGGTGGCCATACTGATGCTGAACTTCGTGTGGACAACTGACCGGCATGGTGCATGACAGCACAGACCTCCTGGGCTCAAGCGATCCCCCTGCCTCAGCGTCCAGAGCAGCCAGGGCTCCGGTGTGGGACCCTGTGCCCGGCTGAAATCTGTAATGTGACGAGGCTGAGGCACCAAGAGTTAAAAGATGTGACCTCTGAGCTCTTGTAATTCCGTCACATTTCACTTAGTGGGTATTTAAAAACTCAAGGACCGTTGGCATCAGGAGGGCCACTGATGTTATTAGCTTATAGTGAAACTCAACAGAAGGAAAACCTAGGAAAGATTTATTTGTTCTTCTTAAGATTTTAGAAAACTTCACTCAGATGGCTTTAATTATTCCACAATATGGATATGTTTGTTCTCCTAAAGAATAACCTAAAGACAGAACAAAACACCCTTATTTGTAAACCTGAGTTAAGCAAACATTTCTGGAGCTCCTGCCCAGCTGCCAGCAAACAGACAGAAGAGCAGCAAGGCCACAGGGCTTCGACAAGCCAGGCCAGCTCCTCGCCTGCTGCTGCCTTGGTTATGCCAAGGACAGAACACAACCCCACAATAAATCAAAACCACAGGGAAATGTCACCTCGCACCAGTCAGAATGGCCACTGTCCAAAAGACAAGAAACAGCAAGTGTCGGCGAGGATGTGGAGGAAAGGGAGCCCTCCGCACTGCTGGTGGGCATGTAAGTCGGTGCAGCCACTGTGGAAGGCAGACGGGAGGATTCTCAAAAAACTAAAACTATAAATACCATACGACCCAGTAACTCCACTTTTAGGAATTTACCCAAAGAAAACAAAACCCCTGATTCGAAAAGATACATATGCACCCCTATGTCTATTGCCACATTATTTACACTAGCCAAGATATGGAAGCAGCCAAAGTGCCCATCAGTAGATGACTGGGTAAAGGAGATGGGGTACATATACACCATGGAATATTAGTCAGCCATTAAAAAGAAAGAGATCCTGCCATTTGTGACAGCATGGATGGACCTAGAGGGTATAATGCTTAGTGAAGTAAGGCAGAGAAAGACAAATGCCACGTGATTTCACTTATTTGTGGAATCTAAAAACAAAACAAAATAAAACGAACAAAACAGCAGTAGACTCAGAGACACTGAGAAGTGACTGGTGGTCACCACGGAGGTGGGGCTGGGGTGGGTGAGTGGGAGGGTGAGGGGGATAAAGGGGCCCAAAACTCTCAATCATAATACAAGTTGGTCACAGGGAGAGTAGTACAGCATGGAGAATATAGACAATGGTTCTGAAACATCTTCCTATGTTGACAAATAGTAACTGCACTAGTGGGGGTGAGAATTTAATAATATGGGTAACTGGTGAACCACTGTGCTGTATACTTGAAACCAATATAATGTTGTGTATCAACTACACTTCAATTTAAAAAATATCCCACGTGCTCGCGGACCTTTTTATCCACCCCCCAGCGCACGCCTTCTCAGCCCCTTTGCTTGTCCTCTTCCTCTGTCCAGGCCCGATAGTTCCTGAGTTCTGTGGCCCCAGAGACCCTCAGCCCAGATCTGCTTACCCTGCTCTCAGAGGGACAGGATGGGGAGATGGGCTCAGCATCTGTGGGTAGCAGGTAGAGTGGGAAGAGGGAGGGGACTGGAGGCTCCTGGCATAGTCCCCCTGGGAGAGGCCGCTGGGCAAGTCCGAGAGCCAGGACCCCCTACCCTCACCTCGATCAGCCCACGCAGGCCTCTGGGCTCCAACCATCACCCACAGCCCAGGGGCTCACAGAGCCACACCTCCAGCCCCCAACAGTCCTGGTGGATGCCAATTCCCTGCCTGCAGCTGCCTACCTGGCTTCTCCACCAGAAGTACTTCAAATTCCACCTGACCCCCTAGTTGTCCCCTCTACCCGCTCCACATCATCAGTCCACTGTGTCCACAGAGATGCCACCCGCCAGGTGCTCCCATCCGCCTCCTCCCTCCTCCCCGGCTGCCCTGGCCCCAGGTCCCTGCGGCTTGTACGGGAAAACCCCCCTCGTGTTCCTGCCCGGGTCCATCCAGGGGGGCCTCCTGCTGTCGCAGCCCAGGGCTGTCCCAGCGGAAGCTCTTACTCACCCTTCCCACAGGAAGGGGAGGAGCACTTTGCTGATAAGGGAGGACATCCGTTGGCCCCTCTACCCGCGGGCGGGGCCCCCGCGCCACAGATGCGAGCAAGTCCCACTGAGCCACCCTGCGCTGCCTGTCTCGTGGCTGCTGGGCAGCCAGTGCTTCCGGCTTCCTGTCCCCGCAAGCTAAGTGCACCTGCAGCCCACGGGGCTCAGGAACCGCCTTCTGGAGGCAGCCTGGAGGCCGGCCACTTTCTCCCCTGGCCTCTGAAGCTGTTCCACCAGGGCCAGAGTATGCGGAGCAGGCTGGTGACCCTTCCACGCAGCTGGCAGGAGGAGTGGGCTCCGCGCCCACCTACGAGGACCCACCCAGCAGGACGGGCTCGGCGTCAGACGGAGCATGTGACACCAGCCCCAGGCTGGTTCCTTCCCGATTCTCAGCCACGTCCTCACCACCGCTCTCCTTTCTCTTGGCCTTTCCCCTCCAGCTACATCCCGCCAGGACGCATCTGAAAGTCAGTGTTAAGGGAGGTAGGAGGGGACCTTTCTGAGTTCTTACAAATGTGACACACTGCTTCCCTTAGCACACGAGTGACAAAGAAGTGGCATATAGAACTTTGAAGTCTGAGTATTGTCCTGCTTCAAACTCTAAAAACCAGCATTTCCTTGTCCTTTGGGATGGAAATCTCTAATGGGTGTTAATGTAAAAATTGGGTTTTGTGATCAAATACATTTTAGGAGCCCTGGGTTAATGATAAGAAGTTTCTTAATGGCAGGGCTTCTCAGAGCCCTCCTGGAAACTGGGCGCTCCACGGGAGGACAGAGAGTACCATGTTTCTCAAACACAGTAAGCCATGCATTTCAAAGAAATAGTGTTCTATAGACCAATGTCCTAGAATTTTCTTCTCATTGGATAAAAAGATTCAAAGCAAGGCCTCTTCCAAGAGGGAAGCCATTCCTCACTTGGGCGGGTCCTAAGGCATCTCTTTGCAACTGTTCAAACTACCTTCCGGGATGCAATACACTCTCAAACCTTGGTGGGATTATAAATCAGACATTTTCTAATCATTTGGTTTTTGTCCTTTTCTACAAATACACCTCTTTTAGAGAAGGGCATTTTCCATGATTCTTCAGTGTATTCCCTTCCTTTTCAATTAGTCACAGGTCAGAGACAATATTACATTGGTTGTAAATTTACGTTAAGAGTTCAGAAACTCAGCAAGACGGCGTTTGGCATCTGTGTTTGCTGCAGAGTGAGAAGGGCCGCCGAGGACATGAGCAGCAGAAGGCGGAAGACCTTCCGTCCAAGTTCCCAAGCCCAGGCCCCAGCCAGGGGCCGGGATCCTCTCCTCTGCTTTGAGTGGTGCCCAGGCCAGGCCAGGCCCTGCTCTTTGCCTGAACCGAGGCTGCTCACAGGCCCTCTCTGAGGTTACGTCCGCCCCCTGCAGAAGGAATCTCCCTGTGGAGCAATGCTTGCCGCAGCGGACCACTCCGGAGGAGGCCTGGACATCTGCTCAACAATGTTCACTTCACTTGAGATCACAGCGTGACAGGACTGGGCCCTTGTCCGGGCCAGCTCGCCCCTTCTCAACTAACATCCAAGCCAAGAAACAGAAGAGAATTCTGAATGCACTTGTTCTTTTTGTTCTAACAAAGATTCAAACCAGTGTTAATACTCTGAAATGAGAAAACTTCATTAAGGGGAACAGATGAGGTGAAAGGCCACCATTCTAAGCAAATTATTCCAGAACCAAACGAATGCAGGCCATGTAAGGACAGATGGAACCACAGCTGGCTTCCTCCAAGTCCTCCTGAATATATTAACCTTCGACATAAAGTCATCCCACTTTTCTATTTTACTAGAAGCTCATTACCCTTGACTCATCAAAAGAGACTCGCTGTTCATTCATGGGCAGGCCTATACCACAGAACCTTTTTTTGAACCAGAAGACGTCTATCCCAGGACCTCAGTTAGGTGCTTAAGAAAATAATATAGAAAGATGTGTCAGGATGGGTGAACCAGCCTCGTGCTGACCAACAAGTTGAGTTTACGTGCGTACTGATCTGGCCTCTGCTCCTCCCCTCAGGAGCCCGTCTGCTCTGCCGCCCTCACAAGGTGACCCATCAGCTTTGGCCCTGTGATGTCACCTGGAGACAGAGCCCAGAACGTACGGTATAGCGCGTTCCCCTTCCGGGACTCTGCGCCGGCTTCCCCTCTGCCGGGAACATTCCCTCCCCAGCTCACTTCCTCTTTGCATTACTGACGACCATCTGAAGTTACTTTCCTTCACCACGTTTTCTCTGTTTGCTGCCTGACATCTCCCACAGGACCGTAAACTCAAAAAGAGACAAGTGACAAGTCTGTCCTATTCATCACTGAGCCCCCCGGTGCTTAGAACAGTGCCTTGTAGAGAGAGGATCTCTGGAAGTATCTGTTGGACACATGAACATACCATCCCCTTCCGTGTTACTTATCCTCCAAGCCTCAAATTTTCCCCAGGATGCCCTCTCCATCTCCCCACGACGGGCACAGGCTGCCCCATGAGTGCACACAGCCCGGGCTGCCTCTCCCATCGAACCGCGAGCCACCTGAGGTCAGGGGCCTTGGTATGTTTGCCGCCATATCTGCTCAAAATGGTGCGTGATGCTAAGACACTGAGATGGTTTGTGAGTGAATGAACATGCTTCTCTGTCATTCTTCTTCAGTTCCCTCCTCTTCTAAGTTATTTATTTCTCTGGTTAAAAGGCTGTGAGTATATGTAGCTGTTTAGACTACACTTGCTGTAAAAGGATCCGAGGTAGCTATAAATGCATCAGATACACATCACAACATTTGGAGAGAACGCCTACGAGAGAGAGGGCATTGAGAAATTAGAAAAAGATGTAACAAACACTTAAAGACTTTTGCTTGAAAATCCCAAGCAATGTAGACAAGGGTCTGACGCACTCTGCCGCCTGCACTGGCGTGAATCGGCCAGGAGCACGTCGGTCCTTCCCCTTCGCATCCTGTGTGAAAGTCAGGACACATTCCAGGAAGGAACTCACAAAATCAGTTGTCACCTTCACTTTCCCTGATAATGACCACATAATACACAAAACTAGAAGTCAAGGTATCTCAGTGGACCAGATGTGTGTCCTTGGGGGTGGAAAACAAGAGAGAAGTAAATATTCCCTGGGGTCACCATCGTTGCCTCCAAACAAATGAAAAACTGCAAGAAACTTGATGGCTTGGAAAACAGTGGTTTCTTCTGTCCCTACAACTCCTCCCACAGGGTTTCTCTTAAACGAGGTCCTGGGGACTAGAGACACAGGCAGGGGAGGAGGCCAGGCTGGCTAGTCAGCTTGACCCGGGCTGCCTCAGGGCCCCTGCACCTCAGCAGTGGAATCGTGGGCAGGTCGCTCGGACTCAGTTTCCTCATTGGAAACGGGGCTGAAAAAAATACACTGCTTGGTGAGTCTGGGGACTTACATGACATATCAGTGGCCCCACACAGTGCCTGGCATGGGTAGGTGCTCAGCAAACACAAGTGCCCTCCCCCACTTCCTGAAGCCGGCTCCGCTGTCACTGCCAGGAATTCAGCTCTAGTGAGGCTCACCCCGCATCGCTGCACCTTCCCCCACCCTGCGTGCAAGGAGAGTGAAGTGAGAGTGCCCTCTGGCATGCTCACCCTGTCCTCGCCCACAAGAGCCAGCTCCGCTCCGGATCCCAAGCAGTACACCTGCCTCCACCTCCAGGTACGTTATAAAATTGTCAGATGAATTCACCGCCCCCTTTTCCTGCTTCCCACCACAGCACCGGGCTTGCTGAGGGCACATCACTGTGTAAGAATTGTCCTAAATACCAACTTTACGTTCCAGTTGTCATTCACTGAGTTTGAAACTCCATAAATAGCAAATCACATGAAATTTCTTCCGTAATTTCTAACAGCAGGTCAGCGGGGCAAGAGAAATAAAAATAAATCATGTATCTGTGCATGTGTTTTAGCAGGACAGACTAATCTCTGTATCCTGCTTCAAAGACACGGTCGATTCTGACTTTGCTGGTTTCTAAAGAAAACGCCTGGACAGCCCTTGAGTCGGGGCTGACTTACATGCTGTTTAAGTTTGGCTACTTCATTACACGGAGCTTTATCGATGTTTTCATACAATGACCTTTCCAATTTTTAGCTGCAAAGATGTTTCTAGTTTTCAACTCACTTATTTTTATTGCCTCCCTTCATCAGATAGAATGAAAATTTTGAGGCCAAAGAATTGCAGGGAAGATAAATCCCACAAACCTCCCAAACGCTTCAAAATGCATACTCTCCTCAGACAGTGAGAAAGGATATTTGTCGTCCTGGCTTGTCCCCAGACCTCCGCTGAAGTGGGTGGAAGCGGGTCCTGGACGGCCTCTCCACCAGCCCGTGGTGACGGGTGCCCCGCACGTTGTCCGCCTGGTGCAGTGACGGCTGGGAAGGGAAGGGAACAAGTGTTGGCCTTGACCAGGAAATCGCCACTCACCCCAAGAACAACGACAGACGCCAGCATCGGGTGAAGAGACTGATCTCACGATTTTAGTGGTGTGTCTGACTGTGTCTTGAGTCAGGTATATAAAGTAATGCAGTACAGGGAGCTGTTTTCACATAATTAGAGGACAATATTAAATAGCATTTAGTGTGTTAAGATGAAAGCTGACAGAATGACACATTCGAAGCTGTCCCAGTCAGGAGGTGGGGAATCAGGGACTGTGAGATCATGCATCAAATCCTAGAAATGAGAAAGTACACCTGAAATGTACAAGAGGTATATTTAAGATAAAAATGAAGTGGATACCTATAGCATACAGCAATAACAGATATAGTATCCAGAGACAAACTGGATTCCTACAAGCTGAGGGCTATTTGTTCTGCACAGTGTCTTCTTAACATTTTGATTGGATTGACAATGTTTAAATATTCCGGTTTGGGGCTTCTAGTAAAAAATGAGAACACCCTGGCCACAGTGGCCCCACACTCCTGCAGGGCAACAGTAAGCTGAAATCGCGAGCAGCTGCTCTCTGTGGTGAGACACCTGCTCTGGTGCTTTCACTGCTGACACCAGGTCACCTCATCAACTTACTACAGTAGCATTTGAGTTTGTGACCCTGGATGAGGAAAGAGATCTAGATACACGTGGGAACCATGCAACTCATCATGCCCCCAAATGGCACAAATGAAAACCTGAACAGATTCGAGATAAACCCACGGTCAATATATCCAAAGTCCTTTGTTAAGGGAGGCTTGGGGACATTCTTAACATTTTTGAGATTGGCATCATAACAGGCAAATTTTGGGGGTGACAAAGACCAAATCTTAGGCTAAACTATCATATGGGTTCTATATCACCATTATATCACATAATGGAGCAATGTATATATAATATAATGCAAGAGATGCATTTGTGAAATATATGAAAACATATTTTCTTTTGTGTAAACTGAATCATGTGGAACAGCTAGCCTATCAGGAAAGGAATCCATGATGGAGTATGTTTTTATAGAAGAGATTCTTTTAACTAAGAATTGGTTGCTAATTTTTCTTTGTTATACGCATGAATTCGCTCAGATTGGATTTGGGAATTACTCCTGTTTTTCCTGAGTGGACTGATACAACATCTGGGCTAATTTAGTTTGACAGTTCAAATCTGTTTTTACAATCCAAATCTATTAACTGCAAAAATAAAGAGATACTGCTTAGTGAGGAACACCGCTGCGCCTGGAAGAAAAGTGTCCCGTGACAGGTGACCTGGGTGTGGATCTGAGACAACAGAGCACACTCTTCCAGGGAGTGGAAACCAAAATACCTTTGTTAATCAAGAGGACGCATACCACAGCATATTTCATCAGAACCTGTTTACCCAAAAGGCATAATTTTTAGAGACAGATGACTGTGTTCCAGGATAAAAGAAAAGGTCCAGTTCTAAAATTCACATGGAACCACAAAAGGCCCCAAATAGCCAAAACAATCTCTGGAAGGAAGAATAAAGAGTGGGGAGGATTATGCTCCCCAACTTCAAGCTCTACTACAAAGCCACAGTAATCAAAATGATTTGGTACTGGCACAAGAACAGATTCACAGATCAATGGAACAGACTAGAGAGCCCAGATATAAACCCACACATATACGGCCAATTAATATATGATAAAGGAGTCACGGACATACAATAGAGAAAGGACAGCCTTGTCAACACCTGGTGCTGGCAAAACTGGACAGCTATATGCATGAGAATGAAACTGGATTATTGTCTAATCTAACCCCATACACAAAAGTAAAGTTGAAATGGATCAAAGACCTGAATGTAAGTCATGAAATAAAACTCTTAGAAGAAAACATAAGCAAAACTCTCTTGAATATAAACATGAGCAGCTTTTTCCTGAACACATCTCCTCAGGCAAGGGAAACAAAAGCAAAAATGAACAAGTGGGACTACATCCAACTAAAAAGCTTCTGTACAGCAAAGGACACCATCAGTAGATCAAAAAGGCATCCTACAGTATGGGAGGATATATTCATAAATGACATAACCAATTAGGGGTTAACATCCAAAATATATAAGGAGCTCACACACCTCAACACCTAAAAAAGCAAATAACCTGATTAAAAAATGGGCGGAGCATCTTAACAGATACTTCTCTAAAGAAGAAATTTAGATGGCAAACAGGTACATGAAAAGATGCTCCACATCACTAGTCATCAGGGAAATGCAAATTAAAACCACATGAGATATCAGCTCACACCAGTTAGGATGGCTGCCATCCAAAAGAAACAACAACAAATGCTGGCGAGGCTGTGGAGAAAGGGGAACCCTCCTACACTGCTGGTGGGAATGTAGATTAGCTCAACCATTGTGGAAAGCAGTATGGAGGTTCCTCAAAAAACTAAAAATAGAAATACCATTTGACCCAGGAATTCCACTCCTAGGAATTCACCCAAAGAAAATAACACCCCACATTCAAAATGACATATGCACCCCTAAGTTTACCGCAGCACTATTTACAATAGCCAAGATATGGAAGCAACCTAAGTGTCCATCAGTAGATGAGGATAAAGAAGATGCGGTACATATACACAACGGAATATTATTCAGCCATAAGAAGGAAACAAATCCTACCATTTGCAACAACATGGATGGAGCTGGAGGGTATTATGCTCAGTGAAATAAGCCAGGCGGAGTAAGACAAGTACCAAATGATTTCCCTCATCTGTGGAGCATAAGAACAAAGGAAAACTGAAAGAACAAAACAGCAGCACACACAGAACCCAAGAATAGACTAGCAGTTACCAAAGGGAAAGGGGCTGGGTGAGGAGTGGGGGGTGGGGGGTGGGGGGTGGGGGTGGGTGGGAGAAGGGAATTAAGGGGCATTATGATTAGCACACATAATATAGGGGGAGCACGGGGAAGGCAGTACAGCACAGAGAAGACAAATAGTGACTATAGCATCTTACTACGCTGATGGACAGTGACTGCAATGGAGTGTGCGAGGGGTACTTGACAATGTGGGTGAATGTAGTGACCACAATGTTGCTCATGTGAAATCTGAGCATAAGATTGTGTATCAATGATACCTTAATAAAAAAATAATTAATTTTAAAAAAGAAAAAGAAAAGTACAGTGATGCTGAGTGTACTAGAAAACCTAGCGTTTCCATCCAGCAGTCTGAGTACCACCACTGCCAGTCTGGATGCCAGAGGCAGCTGAGGCGGTGGGGCTGAGGGTCTTCAGAAGGGGTTCCAGAAAGCAGAAAGCTCCTGGGAGGTCTCCTGGACTCCCCGTCACACACGTTATTGTCCCCGTACATCCGCCTCTTGCATTAAGCCCTGCTGGCCCAGATCCTGGGTTACTACTTGGACTCAGTGTTGGAAGGGATGCTCTCTGCTTCCCCTTGGTGTTCTCTTCTCTCCCTCACCGGGGCGTGACTTCAACTCTCTGCGCCTGTAGCAGCTGATCTTCCTCCCAACTACGTCTGGCATCAGCCTCCTCCACTCCCCGGGGCGCCTTGCTCACCAACTGAGTTAGAGCAGCTGCCCAGTCACGGCAGCTGGGGACTCAGGAGGCTTCGGAGCCAAGCAGCCTGGTAAACTCGGTGTGTTCGGTAGTCGGCCTAAGTCTCTGGGTCCCCAGAAAGCTAGTGGCAATCAGTCATGTTATTCTCCTGTTTCCATGAACTTGCTGGGAGCTGAAATTCTATCATTTAAAAATGCATGTCTTAAGTCAACTGTAATACAAAAAATAAATAAAATCCTGCTACCCTGAAGACCAAGTGCTTCTTTTTTTCTGCTCCTTTCCAAGTTTTTATCCATAGTTTCTACATGGTTGTACCCACAGAGCACATATATTTTTGTTCTGTATTTAACATTGTTTTGTGAACAATTTTCCATATATTATATAATCCTGACTGTTACTAAGCAGTGTACAGTATTTCATTTCTGATGTTCATAGGCCAACAGTCCAGCTGTAGTTCAAAGAACTTGAGATTTGGAGTGAAAAAAAAAAACAGCGCCAGTCCAGGATCCTCCCCTTACTGAGCTCCTTCATGTTCCGCACCCGCGAAGTGGGAACGATGCTGCTGATAACCCGCACAGGCTTTGTGAGAAAAGGAAGTGAGATATGAAAGTTGTGTATGTGAAAGTTGCCTTATCCCAGGGATACTGGGTGTCGTGAACTGAATCGTGTCCCCCAAATCATAGATAGGGTGAAGCCCTAAACCCCTCATGGAACTGTATTTGGAGATGGGGACTTTCAGGAGGTAATTAAGATTAAATGATATCATAATCCGATAGGGCTGTGCTTGTGAGAAGGGGAGGAGACAGCAGGCGCACACGCACGCAGGCGACAGGCCATGTGAGGACACAGCAAAGCGGCAGCCGTGTGCCAGTGGGAAGGAGAGGCCTCATCACAAACCCGCGCTGCTGACACACTGATCTTGGACTTCCAACCTCCAGAACTATGGAAAATAAATTTCCGTTGTTTAAGCCCCCCAGTCTGTGATACTCTGCTAGGCAGGCTGAGCAGGCTAATTCACTGGGCATGGAGGGGAGGACGGATGTCCAGGTGGTGGGGCTCTGGGAAGCCTCTTGCGAAGGGTGAGGCCACCGTGAACACCAGGAGAGCACCACTGTTAGGGGCCTCCCCAGCATTCGGGGCCTCCCCAAGTGTCCCTAACGGACGAAGATCTCAGGTGCCCATCTGCTGCCTGCGCCATGTCATCCCTGAAAGCTGCAGCCAGGGATTAATGGCTGAAAAGAATGTTGGCAGGGCCTTGTGACCTGCTTTGGCCAATGGCTCGCAAGCAGACATGACACACATCCTGTCCAGATAAAACTCTCATTTGCTTTTCCTTCTGCCAGCAGAGTCCCAGGTAGGGGCCGCTGCCCAGCCTCGGCTGCAGGGCACACAGGGAGAAGAACAGCGGGTGCCCTGCAGCCACCAG